TTCGATGAATCCTGCTTCAATTCTACTTAAATACCCCCTTAAATGCTTCTTGTGGCACTATATAGAACTTTTAGCGCATTTTTTAATACATTTGGTCTATCCGTACTGGCCCATTTCTGTGAATTTGAACCAATTTTACGGGAAGTGTTGGAGTGCACTAAAAATTTTTAAAATAGGTAGCCTATACGGCTTAAGGTGTTCTTGTAACGGGGTCAGTCGTTACTTTTACTAGTGTCGACATTCCCCACTCGCATCACATAAAAATGAACCTGTACGGCAGTGGCAATAAATATGACAATTTTTAATTTTATTTTAATCCAACCCAAGGAATGGTATCACTGAAGTTATACGCAAAATTCCCAATCAATGAAACAAAATAACCAAAATTCTTTATTTAGATCCGCTTCTTATCAATAAATGCAATACAAATCTGTTTCAAATGGAAATGATTGTGATAGGTCGATTCTTTTAGGAATATTCGACCAATACTCCGTAATTCAAAACTTTACCGAAGGAAATGTCCATACGTATGGTGAATCTAAGTAAATCGGCTTCAATTTCGCGATCGTGATTATACACGGGGAAAAATGTTACGCTGTGTTGATATTCATTTTGCCAAATTTATTAACTAGGTTTTATTGCGGAAAAATGCACCTATGAAATTTCATTCAATTCCCTGCTGTATGCCGCTGTATACAAAACTATCCATATCGCACAATCCAATGACGTGCCACTCAAAATTTAGGAACTTACTTTTAACCAGCCGTTACATTTGGCAATCTGAAAGAAAAACATTGTTGTTTATAGCAATAAGTTTGAAAAATGTCCCGTTTTAACGTAAAACTTTGCTTGCAGAACTCGTACTTTGTCACCAATCCGATTTCCATTACACGCTTTTTAACGACGCGATTGAAAAATAGCAACAACGATCTTATTTAGATAATTTTTCACTCAAAATAAAATTAGTAAAGCTTTACAGCCACTACATACATTTTCACGCACGAATTGTTCCTGGTGGCTCTTGAATTTTGACCACTAAATTTTAGTCAATACGGCGAATAAAAATTTTTCGCAGACAAATGCTTATTCTTCGAACCTTTAAGCTCGTCTGCCAAAAAACTCCTTACAATACGGTCTCACTAGCGTTTTATCTCAAACATCTGCGTTTCTTATCAAAATGCAAACGTCGATATCGCTCATATTTCAGACATACTTTCGTTCACGTTCGCTATAAGGCGGTATATATGTCAATTTTCCTATATTGAACAAAATTCAAAAAACCAATTTTTGAAACGGAAAGGTGACCACCCGTTACTCGCCCTTCAAATTTTGTATTAAAGGGTCGATCTCATTAATTATTTCCCGAGTTCTTATAACTTTTTGCATGCGTACTTCTGCCAAGTAGAAGTTTTAAAGTGAGAGGGAGGGGTACAATGTGCTACTCTTCATGGTATGAAAGACCTCATCGAAAGGATTGGTTTCTACCAACTACAGCTCTTCTCAACGGTTCATTATCAAGATCCATGTGATTAGAAAGAATTGTTTCTTTCCTCATGACATTCTAATTATAAAGTTATTAACGAAAGGAATTGTTTTCTACCAATTACCTCCCTTCTATCTTATACCTTGCCGAGATCAAAGAGAGAGAGGACTGATTGTATCCGTCATATTACTCTAATGAAAGGTCTCAACGAAAGGGTTTCATTTCTACCAATCACAGCCCTCCAACTCAACCTCTTAACGAGATCGGTTATGATTTCTCATATTTCGAGAACAGAGTGTCGAAGGAAGTGAAATATCTGTACGAGCCATATCTGCTGATAACGTAAAGTGCGAATATTACGAAAACGGTGTTGCTATGTGCTCCACGTTTGTCGCCAAATAAAACTTTCTGCGGTCACTAAACCACCCATAAAACACTTGTGGCCCTAGGTCACTCAAACTCAGCTATAGACAAAACCTTTACAAGAAATAATTATAGTTTTTCTAAGGCACGTCCAGTTTCCGCCACAAAGAAAATCTCAATATTGACGTAAATTTTACTAATATAAGAAATTCAGAAGCCCTAACCGTCTCCAAAAGTCCAAAGAATTAATAAAAACGTTTTTACTTGACACCTAATGTAATTCCCTGCCCGAAATAGAAAAATTTAACATGAATTTTGGGCTCGATTAATCACAAAACCATCTACAGTCGAAACAAATTTATTTGTAGTAAAATAATCAGGTTGAAAGGAAAACACGCACTCAGGGCCAGAATAACACCACGCTACAAGCGATCGATACACAATTTATTAAAGCAAATCTTAATTACCTTAAAGTGTTAATAATCCAAAATGTCTGTAATTATATATAAATGGTAAAATTTTTTAAATTAATTATCTAAGCGTCTTTACGTGAATAGAGGATGATTGTATCCTTTTATTTTCGTAAGAATCTTGCTTTATTAACACGTTTCTTTTTAGGTTATGCCTATCATTCTTTTACTTATATCGCAATCCGAAACCCATTTATTAATGGGGCACGTAAGATTGAATTTATTGTATTTCAGTCTGATTTCTGATTTTGGCATTTTGGTTTTTGAATGTATCTTTCGTGTAACGAGTATAACCACGTCTATCGATGAACGACCGTTCTCTTATGAAATGCTAAACGAGTTCACCAACTGAAACGCATCTAACACTTGGTATTTACCATCATACCTTGTGCACTGCAATGTTTGAACTATCGGAGCAGTTACCAAGTGCAGGTAAACTGTCATATAGCTCTTGTCGTGTCTTTTCCGTTGCATTTTTGCTACCATCGTCACGAATTGCTCTGAAATTGATTACATGAAATATAGAAGTTGTCCAATCAACTGTAAATTGCCTTTTAATTTACCTTTTGCCTTTGTGGTTAATGTTAACGTGAGGTAATTCAGTTAGTTAATTTATTTATCTTCCTATCTGTAAATGAGGTTAGATACGTTATAGGTTATAAATAATCAGCTGTACTGAAAATTTGCATTTAGTTAAGTGTAACCTTGCCCAGAATTGCTAATTTATTTATTGCTTTATGCAATATTAAATGTCTTTTGTGTATATGTAGACTCTTTGCCAAGACAAAGATCCACTAGTGCCCGAGGATTCACAAATCTTGTATTCTTATTTTATTTTTAGTTTATGTTGTTATTTACTGTTTTGCGTGACTTGTGAACGCCTGGCGCCCAAAAATTATATGGTGGTTGTTTCACTGGAGGACTCGTTTCCATTTTCTTTCTCTTCTTTCCCCTTTCTTTTAATACTTGAAGCACTTAACTAACTTTTTTTGAAAACGTGATAACTGGCAGACAAATGTAACTCCGATTTAACGTGAAGAACCTCTGTTCACGTCTTGCACAAAAAACCACTACCAACAAAAGGCATCGTTTAACATCCAGATTATTTATTTGAAACATTTTCCCTCTCCTCACTTCCGTTCCTGAACAAAATAATGCGCGTCTTCGAAAGATAAAACTGAACTGTGCTCAATACGGCGATAACACATCCTTATCTTGAAATTTAGTTAGCGTACGCAGCGGTAAGAAAAACTCTTATCTACGGCTGAAGAAAGACATGAGATAAACTGCGTAACTGCGTAAATAATTTCCAGATGTGTAAATCTAATCTTACAACACGTAATTTCTTTACAATTAAATATACAAAATAAACAAAGCAATTATTTAATCAAAATAAACAACTATTAATTCTGATACAAATCGAAATCTACTTCGAAAGCAAGTGTCGTGATCGACATTACATTCAATCCCAAGCCATGACCACATCTAACGTTAATAAACATTGAAATGTACATACAAGGTGACCCATTATCATTGTATGTGCCAAAGCCAAATAAAACGTCCGCCTGACGTAGTTTACACAACAATAAGTTCTAAGTATAAAGATCCCACTACCCATAATGTTATAACTTTGCATGTCACTAGGAATTTGTGTAAAACCGTGCCTCTAGCTGATTTCTACTACCTAGTGCTCAATACCTTACTAAGTTTTTTTGGTTTTTAAAAAGTGAAAGGTTTAGAATTGAATGTGAACAATAAATATTCTTCTCTGGCATTGCAGCGCCCGCCCCAAAATGATTTTTATTTGCCCGGCGTCATTTTATAATGGTTCTTTTTTTTAACTTAAAAAATGCCGTATGTTTGTTTTTGTCTCAGATACTGTTTTAGCATGCATGTTAAAGAACGCAAAATCGCGGGTACTAGGCAACATTTTTTCTCGGTTTTGAATTTAAACAAATTTTGTGGCGAAATGTAAGTAATACTTCGAGGCTCCCTTAAAATTTCTGTACTTCATCGGTTAGTGCAAAAAAAACGAGAAAAAATGTTGCCAAGTCGCCGCGATTTTTTACAAAAATTGTCTTCGTCTTGTTATTTGAATTACGTTTCCAATAGGTACAACTAGGTCGAAGATTTATAGAAATTAATAGTATAAATCCTTACGGCCTTAATGGACCAAGTGGGTATAGTAATTGACCATCGGGACTAATATTTTTCTTCTTTGCCGCTGGACAGTTCTTATATTGCAAAAAACCGCCTAACCGTATTTGGATTAAGATATAGGATAAATAAATCTTATAATAAATACAAAGCCAATAACGTGTTTTAGTTTTTATTTAAGTCTGGGAAATGTTATAATTATTTTAGTTGTATAGCTAATGAGTGATTACATATCTATACGTCAAGCACTACCATAAATTAAATGACATAAATTCTTTAGATGTCAACAAGATATTTATTAAACATGCACGTACATACAAGGAATTAATATAAATACCATGCCATTTTGCCCATTTTGGTGTTACAGAATTTTATAGGTTAGGAGTATACCGCAAGTTTTTAAAATGCTTACAAGTTTTTTTATACTACATCTATTAGCGCTAAATCAACTGAAAAGAGTGATTTTTGTCTAAATTGGTGTACCTGTAGTGCCAAAAATTGTTTCACTAAGTTGAGCTGTTTTGCAGGTTATTTGCTGTACGGAGATGTGGACGTTGTCAAGCAGGAATAGCAGCTAACGAATTGGTTATGAGGGCACGAGATTTAGTTTACCACCTTCACTGTTTTTCGTGTACATCTTGTGGAGTTTTACTGTCGAAGGGCGACCATTTTGGAATGAAGGAAGGACTGGTTTACTGCAGGTTTGTCTTATATATAATATTATTGTAATAGTATAAATATTAGAACCTCATAACACTCAAGTTTAGACGGTTTGGTTATGAAATAATTTAAAAAAACCTAAGACAATTGCAAAATAAATGTATTTGCACATTTTACGTTTTGATCCTAGATTCGGCCCTATGCGCGTTAGCAGAGTTTCAAACCTAGTTACTTTTCTAGGGACTTTTCACATCTAGTGACTTTTTGAGTTAGAATCGGTCGTATATTAATCAATTAATGGGTCCATAGCAAAATTTCAAGCTTAGTTACTTTTCAGGCTTTCAGACTTTTTCGTGTCTAGTGCCTTTTTGTATTAGAAACTATTCCAAGAGTACTTGCCCAAACATTGATTTTCTTCGGAAATTGTGTGCGATCTTCCCGAAAGAAGTGTGGTTTTTCGTTATCCCGGTCCCTAAATTATGTTTGTTCACAATTCCGTTGAAGAGGAGATGCTAAATCAGATGATTTTTTGGAAAAATTAAGATTTTCATCAATTCTTTGTGGAAAAATCTCCAATCGTAATCATCTTCGCCCAATTCTTGTAAAGCTTGTACCTTGTATGGGAAAAACTTGTTCTTTTTTAGAATTTTATGGATGATGCGTTTCATTGAATGCTCAGGCGTACGTAGGTTTTGAGATCCATACAAAAAGATTATTTCAGTCACACCCCATTTTAAAATTATTTGTATTTCAGGGCCCACTACGAATTACTAGAATATTACGATCCGGTGGACATTTTTCGTGGAAGGGAATCAAATTTTTATCACAGTGGTACGACACATCACAAAGGTCGACCGAGAAAAAGAAAATTAGAATCGGAAAATTCTTCGCCCTGCTCGGATCTACCTGTCGCGATGGGGATGACTGCTGCGACTTTGGGTAAGTACTTTCACTATTGTGGTTTGCGAAAAGTTTTATCTAAATTACGTTTATAAGGCACGTCAAGATGGATACATTTATGTTGTCATCTTTACATCTTGCAGTTAGAAAGGGAAGAAATCCGTTGTGACGCGTGTCATAAGTGTAATTTTATTCCACAGGTAAAACTTCTTATACTATTTGTTGTTGATTTTACAAACAAATAGCATTCATAAATACACCAACTTAATGCAAATCGCAAGTAGGTGATTAAATCGCCTTCACATAAGTATACACAGTAAATAGCGTGTAAGCATAAAATTCTGTTCAATAAGTTTGTAATTACTACACTACGACGCTAGTTAAAATGTACAACGACGGAAAGCGGCAAAACTACAACGCGAAGGAACAATTGTTCATAAATACTCTTATGCAGCACTCACCAGGAATTTTATATGCATTCCGGTTACGGCTTTCAATCAGAATAGAATGGAAATTGACTGTGCCTACACGGACCGGCTATAGAATCCTGTGGGGTGTTTTGTCGTTTTTCAACTTTCTTCTTTGCAAAGCTGGGTCTTCAAGGCGAAGACGGTTTCTCGCTCTTGGCTTAATTCCATTCTTCGGGATCCATCCAATGGACCCATTGATTTAAAATGACACAATGTGCTTTGCGACAACGACCAATGTAAGTTCGGTACTGTGTAACGCCGCATAACAAAAGATGCATTCCCGCTATTTACACTCATATTTATAGATTCCCCTATTGTATCTCTAGCTTCACAAGCGCTTTATCTTACAACAAACAAAATAATCTCCAACATTAGGTAAGGAAACAGCTGAACACGTTTAATCTTACAATGTCTTATCAATATATAAAAGCGAAAATTTTGCATTTTCATCTAATAATTACTAGCCTTCAATTTAAATCAAAGACCATCCGTCGGATTAGTCTTTCTCAATAAACGTAAAATAATTACGCAAACTAGAGCACTAAAACCTGGGACTTTATTTCAAATTTGTGCTTCCCAGTGCCAACTTGAGCCATTTTAAACTTCGATTTGTTCTAATGGTTGTTGAAAAATTTTTTGTATTATTACACGCATTTGCGTGAAGGATGAACAATTATCTAAATTAGTTAAGAAGTTATGAAGGGGTCCTTTGTATAGAGTGAAAATTATCCTGAAATCCATATCTTTTTGCGTTTCTGGTTTTCTTGCTGTTCCTTATCTGAAAATTTGTCCATCTTACAACGGCGACGTGTCGACGTTTTTGATGACACGGAGCGGATCATGAGCGTACTGAGCTTCACCTCCATATGTTTTTTTATGAAGATGTGCACTAGCTGCAACTCAATTCAATTTGTCACTGAAAAATGCATTACTTGGAAAATGAATTCTAAGCAACATCAAGCTAAGAACTAGAAATGCGACATTCAACAAAAACAGTCTCTTTGACCGGAATCCTGAATTTAATGAATTTCTGTAGCTTTTTGTAACAATTAAGTTGACGTCTGCTAATTTTCGTGAAGGAGCGTCCATTATCTATATAAGGTGCAATTAAAAAAGTGAGAAAGTGAAGTGAACTTCGTGGACCGGCCATAGAAAAGACATTAAACGTTAAAAATGGGCGATAATTTAATAGGTATTCGAATCTATCCAATTAGTGGTATGATAAAAAATGTTAAAAGGAAGGGTTTTAAAGAAAAATTCCCAGCGACACTACCCGAGGGCATCGGGCGGCAACCGAAAATAAAAAGGAAATGAGAGGTTTTATTTGATTCCTAAAAACGAGTTACCGAAATCGAATGCAGCCTTTCTATCGGTCTCTTATATTTATAAGGTTGCTGCCGCGTTGTACTGGGTGGTCGAATAAGCCGTGCTGACAGATGAAAAGTATGCTTAGATCGTCGATTGGATAATCCGTCCGGTAGCCATTTGGTCCGACGCTGCGTGGCTATACAAAGGGTATAAATTCTTAACCCCATAAACATAGAATAACAATATTTATTTTATCTACCTTGTCTTTCCACACCTGCCGTTCCTATATATAGGTACTTCATTATCGATACGACACCGCATTGCGTCGCGAGGTATGCGGCGAATATGAATAAATCCGCCATTTTAACATGCAACAACATCACTTTACCAATTCTTAACACCTCCAGATCGAGTGCCGGGTACCGTATTGGTTTGGTTCTGCTTTATTTGGCATTGCGCTACTTCGGTACCTAAAGGAATTTTCACTAAGAAAGCTTATCTTGTTTTACGGCAGCTCGAAACAGAATGCAGATAATAATCGTATGCGCTTCAATCCTTTATGGCCTTGCTGAAAGCGTGATTGTTTCTATATAGAAACAGCATTTTTTTTTGTCTCATTTGAGTAAATGTGGTAGCTAGCTTAAATGTCATGAAATTTTAGTTTATGTTTTAATATAAATTTCTTTTGACGTACAGTTCCTCGACTATAAGGGTTTCAATATATATATACGCACATTTTGAAAGAGTGCATACGTGTATGCACATTTGACAAATTTAAGATTTTAAGCATATCATGCAGCCATATTTTAGACTTAAAGCTAACAGACTATTGGTAACATTATTTTAATGTCACAGCCATTTACATGCATTAAATTGTTGCTTAACATTCAAGAACCGCAAATCCTTCGTTTTGTGTTGCGCCAACTCTCACGTTTTGTGCGTAATATTAATGAAGATATGGAACTTTTAATGTGGAGTTACAACGCTTCCTTGTTTCCATGTTTTGTGTTTCAAAATTAACGGCAACACTCGTTTAGTGCTGCTATGCACTCAATAAGGCGATAAGCGCACGATAGACACAAAACTCCGACTAACTTCTTGGAAAACTTCACCTCTTTAGTTCGGCTTCAACATTTACCTTAAACGGCGTAATAAAAATCTCTTAAAGCACTTCAATAACTTTCTTCTACAAAACAGAACAACTAGCCAAACGGACTGTCTTGCAAAAATATGGCAAATCTATCAAACATCAAAACAATCAGAAGCTACGTCTCAACATCCACCAAAAAACAATACAACGATTGACATCCACCACCAAAAAAGCAACGATTAACTTCTTCCTCGGCTATTTAAAACATTTTTTTTTCTTAGTTTCTTCTCCTCTACTTAGAGATTAGAATCCCTTCTAGTAGAAAATAAATTTTATTCTCAAACGCCCTGGTACAAATTTCACCGTAACAATTTTTTTTTGTAATGAAATGATGAATATCACGGCTGGTTCAGATACCTTGCGGAAGGTTGGTTCATTATCTCCACTTACAATTTAAAAATTAAAACATAGTGCTCCAGTTTAATCACTCTCAAATAAATACTCACATAATTAAATACTTGTTTGAATATATTATTGAAACTCCAGTTTGTTTTTACATTTTTTGTGATTTAAAACATTGATGTACTTGATGTAAAGCGTGATCACGTTTCCAATATAATCCTATTCAATATAAATATACGTAGTTTAACCCTCACCAAATTATGGTATTACTACACAGTTAAAGAGGAAAAGCACTTATCATTTATAAAAAATACCCAAATTTGTTCACGGGATAAATTCCCGTGGGTCGGCCTCTTCGGGAATATTAGAATAAATTTAAATATAAATGATTTACTTATACAAAATTATACATTTTCCCCAGTCGACTATTAACTTTGTCTTTTGGTAGGCTAGCTGCAATTTGAAAAACTGGATGGTGGAATGCCTTGTACAATACAATCGGACCTTTTGTATCGCCAGGTAAAAGTTTGGCTACCCGTCGAAAGTGAATTTTGAAAGATGGTTGACGAATTTGAATCCAAACCAGCCGTGCTGCAGTTTTTTTGCAATTTATACCATTATCTGTTGGTCTCACTGTGGTAGACGAGGTTTAATGTCTCGAGAGTGTGGGTGTCAGTACCACAATCCGCCTAGCCATCCCGTCCGTAATTCCGATATCCGTTCGCCCTCAGCTGCAGAGATATAGGGTACTGACCCCCGTCCGTTTATTAAAGTTCACATTCATGGCCAACCGTTTACAGCTTTAATCGAGACTGAATTGGATTATTTCCAATTTAGTCCATCATACCCCACGTCTTGGTTATGAAGTACTCTTTGGAATAGATTTTCTTTCCTGAACCGACCTCCATTTCAACATGAAAACCGGAAATTTATTCCTTGGCAGTGCCCTTGTTCCCCGTGTTAGCCCCGTTTCTCAACAATGCATTCCTTGTTTCGTTATCACACCGTTAACCGCCGTCGAAGCAGCAAAATTACAAGAATTTCTTCACAAAATCCCTGAATGCAAGCTAGAGGAGATCTAGTCGAGGGTAGCATAGAACCGTCCGAAAGTCCGTGGAGTTCGCCAATTGCCATGATCCGAAAGAAGTTTTCGTAAAGTCAACGAAGTTACGGTTAAAGATGCCTACCCATTACCGTTCCTAAATGGGATTCTAGACCGTCTCCATCAAGCCCGCTACATTTCAAGTATCGATTTGAAACAAGATTACTGACAGATATACCGCTGACAAAAACTAATCGACCAATTACCGCTTTCACCATCGCCGGCGGAGGATTTTTCCAATTCAAAGTCACCACACCAGCCACGTTCCAGCGTCTTTTGAACCGAGTTATTGGGTCAGAAATGGAGACTCGAGCGTTCGCCTACCTGGACGACATTCTCGTATTAGGGAGAACGATCAACGAGCAAAAATTTTAGGAAAGTTTTCCGCCGTCTCCATTTAGCCAGTTTCAAAATCAATCCCGGGAATTGACAATTTTGCCGTCCGTCTCTAAAATATTTAGGCTACTTGTGAGCAATGGAGGTTCCCAAACCGATCCGCTACCGAAAATTCCGAAGTACCAATTTTATGCCCATGAATTGTCCGAATGCTCTTGGTGTGGGGTTAGGATTATTTACTAATAAATGACTGCATTTGGGGAAGAGAGTTTATTTACTACCTAACTCGTTCAATGCAAGTCTTACACACTACTGATTATCAATCGTCGTCAAACTCAATCACCTGCGAGTTTGCCAACCTTGCTACTTACTTCTAGATTGCTGTAATAGCCAATTTCATCATATATCGGCGGATATCCTGTGGATATTGACTTTTACACAATCATAAGTTAATAACCTTATATTATTACACTACATTGGTACCGAAATAAATTCAATGCCGTAACCGGCCGACCCGATACCGTACCAGACTAGTGCATCGGTAACTTTCATAGTAACCTTTTTAAATGATGATATCGTTACTGATTCGTGGAAACTTTGCGTTGCCACTTTGAACCGTAACCGAATATTGCATGAAAATCAAGAGTTACTGAACAGCGGACACAAAAACCGTTAACCGAATTATAGATCATTATTATTGACCAGGTATGTTGCGAAATTTAGCTAAATATGGCCGTCGCTGTGAGTCTTGCCAACCGTACAAAGTATCTCAACAAGCCGCAGGGAATATGCACTTATACCCCAACTTATTTATTAGTTGAAATTTGGTTTATTTATTGGAGTAATTTAGCTATGTTCCGCAGTATGGAAATGTCTAATATTACTTAGGGTTTTCATAACCAACAAAAACACGAATTAATTGCCTTTAACCTTTTTACTGGTTGCCGTACACAATTTACATGATTCTCCTTGAAATCTTGACGAAGAATTTCGTGATTTATAAAAATCTGCACTTACGTTACGTAGGTTTGTCTCGAAGGTTTAGCGCGGTTCGAAAAATGCAGCACTCGACCTCGAAAGTTTGGCTAAGAATTCCTTTCTCCCACCCAATTTTTACTTATGTATTGGCCGAGTTCGAGTGATAAAACGACTCCAAGCGCTCACTCCCTTTTTATACATGCAGATATAGCACTGTCCCCCATTCTACGTCACGACGATTTTTAGAACCGGCAACACTGCAGCGTTTCGACTCTTGAACTGCTTGATCACTCGTTCTCATGTTAACGCGTTTTTTCTGGCATATTAGTTCCGTGATCATTCCTTGTGAATCGGTACACATATAAAATTTCGTATACCGGTCATTTTGTAAATTTAACAAAAAATGTATAAAATTTAATTAGATTAAGCAGCAATAACGAAACCATATCGCACTGCCCGAATATAAATGAGAACTTCCACAAAACTTACTTTTCAAATTCAAATTTTAAATACCGTAGTAGTATAGAACACCTTCTGCCGGGGGCACCTCTAAAAAGCATTATTCGGGTCACTCTGTAATTGGGCTTAAGCCTGTTGAGGGCCCAGAACAAGAGAGGGACAATAAATAAGTAAATATCCCTAATTTTTTTAAATGAACAAATAAAATAAAATTACTACCTTCCTTATGTCAAGGTGTGTCGTTGTTGATAATCTTCATCAGCTTCGGTGCGACTTGGATTTCATAATGCACGGATAGAATTCTTCATTTCGTGCGACTATACCCTTTCTATTTTTAGCTTACGCAATCGTAAAACGAAATTAATTTGCGTCTCCCTCAAATATAGTATCTTCCCTTGACTAGTCTTAATGCTGGATCTCTACGACATGGTCTGAACGATGTAGTTTCTCTGCAAGGATAAAGCAATTTCTGTTACTTCCTGTGTATTAATGGTGTAGGTATATGAAACGCTAGAATTTATTTAAACAATCAGAATAATGTATGATGTTACGTCCATCCACAAGATTATTCTATCCTATCCTACCGTATGAAGATTTTTGCTACTCCAGCACTGAATTGCATAACAGAAAGTTTTTCCCAACTTCCACTATCAGTAGCGTATTCTTTCAAACGTTAAATTAATCCTCGCATATTTATTTTCGACAGTGGCAAATGATTTATTCAGTCGGTGAAAATAACGATATGTTTATTTACTCGTATTGTATGCACGTCGTTCTGAAGTGCCCTTCAAATTTAGCGGGTGGAAGCAATCTCGAGGGATTCCATTCGACCGGTACTTTGTTCTATAGCACTAGAAACGTGCTCAAGAGTCTATGTTTGTATATACTTCTTCACGTAAATTCATACCGTGTATTGATTTTAACAATTTCAATGCGACGAATACATTTCGTCCCTAATACGGAGCGAGTTGGCAATGAATTCATTTGTTACCATTGTTCTGTTGTCTCAATTTTTTAAATGGTCCTCTTCTAAGTATGCTTGTTTGAAAATGTTTCCTTTGTTTGCAGAGCTGCTACAAGGAGATTTAAGCCAATCGGTGGATAGTTTAGCTTACGATTCGTCCGTCGCCTCGCCCGCTTCGAGTACGGGTCACCAAAGTCAAAGGACGAAAAGGATGCGAACGTCGTTCAAGCACCATCAACTGCGTACAATGAAATCGTACTTCGCGATCAATCAGAACCCCGACGCTAAAGACCTGAAGCAGCTCGCCCAAAAGACGGGACTTTCGAAGCGTGTTTTGCAGGTGAGCGGATAGATGAGGGTTCCCAATTATATCGTCAGTTCTTTGCAGGTGTGGTTTCAGAATGCCAGGGCCAAGTGGAGAAGGAACATCATGCGACAGGATGGGTCGGCTGCGGGCTCGGGCGCTAACGGCACCGGACCGAACGGGCCGGGTTCTGTCGGTTCCGTTTCCGCAATTCTGGGTGATTCAAATAGCTTGTCGAGCCAGTCGGGAATCGACGACGTTCACCACCATCTTCAGAATTCACAAACTTTAAATTTTAGTGATATTTATTAATAAATTATAAGCGTGCGCGGGACAATGTCGAACGGATCGGTGCACAAATGTTCCTTTAGATAGTGATATGAATTATAATATATAACTGTAAAGTAGTTATATGTTAACCAGCAGTATTTAAGCCGGATTTAGGTGCAATTTTTCATGTTTTACGGCAGGCAACCGTTTTGATATGTTTGTCTATGTTAAACGAAACCAACGATAAATGTGTACTTTTAATTTGGATATTTTCTGTGAAAGTATTATAAATGTGTATAGTAATATATATTGTAATATAAAAATTTTGTTATTGTCACATGAGTTAAGATGGCACTGTTTATTCTGAAACCCGCCGCAGAAACGTACAAGAGCGCAGGGATGATAACGTATAACAGGGAATGAGATACTTCACAGTTGTGTTAAATGGTGGAGCCGGGGGAGAACTTATGGTCATTCTTTTCGTTGACTGAGCCCTTAATTTTCGATCGACCAGGAGCGAACGCGTAAATGACCGTACTCGGCACCGATTGGCCACGTAAACGCGGACTAAGGATTGAAATGGTCTGCGATTTACAAAACCAACGTCGGAGGCTCAATGGCTCTAACCAACAACACCATCTGTTCATATCAGACCACACACAGATTTATATTAGATTTAAACTACTATGTTATGTTACTCATTGACCGCTCCCCGAACGCTTTCTATACAAGTTAAATATCCATTTTGGTTGTTACTTATTATTTTCTGGAAACTATACCAAACGTAAACCTACACATGCGTCGCTGCGAATGTCTTTTACTACATATTACACCGATGGTAGTGCGTGTCTAATCAACAACTCGTTGGAGGTGGCCATAAGTGGATTTAATACCAGCCACATGTGATATTTCACGATGTATATAGTTGAAAATGATATCGTCCACGTTATTACGCCACTGTTTGATGATTTTACTTACTGACTCGTTGACTTGTAGTTGCTCCTTAGGTTATTAACTCGTTCTATACAATTATCCATTTTTGCTTCAAGGGTTACGTGGTTTGATACAGTAAATAATGTGGTAATGAGATATCCAAACCGTTCTGCTCAAATTAAGCACCAAATTTAAATATCCCATCAAGATCAAAATCGATACGTTACCTGAATTATACCTTCAAATCAATAAATACTATCAAATGCAGGTGATACATCTTCTGCTGTATTTATGATGCTAACGATGTAAGTTACAATCAACAATTCAATATAAATTTCGAATCCTAACTGAAAAATGTATATTTGAATGAATATTATAATGATAAATTCAACTACAATGTACACCACTGCGCTAGCCACAGCGAATTGGTTTAGTATGTGCAAACAACACACCTTGAAAAGATTCCGTGGGCGGAATTTTGTGACAGATTTCATAATCATTCTTAGAACGTCACTTTGACATGCAGAACTACACAAATGAGCAAAGCGGAACATTTCTTAATTAACGTTACCATACTCGAAGGTCGTCATTGGCCATTACAGAACACCGATTCCGCGGTCAACGTCAGAGTTGGCAATAAGAAACGCTGCACCTCAATTTGCTATGGAACGGATGCCCCATACTTTAACGAGGTGATTTTTTCCTCATCCATCAATAACCCATAGTCATCTTTCAGTACTTCGTCTTTGAGTTTTTGGAGACTTTTGAGAACTTGCTTGATTACAACATAACTTTAACCGTAAGAAATTAGTGAATCAGTGGGGTGGTGTTTCAGATGATTCTCCTTAGGTTTTTCGACCGCGCAAGAAGTGCATGCCTCATAAGACTATCGGATATGTTACTCTGGACGTGGCGACAGTCTGGATGCAAAAAGGTGATTACAATCGATTGTTCATGTCAACTAATCTCGGCAGCGGGTAGATCACCAATTCTATCACAAATGGGCCGTAGTTGTACCGCCTTACAAGGAGGTAAACTCGAAGCTGTGCGGATTTCTGAAGGTGGATATGGGTGTCATCAGAAGGGGCGAGAAGTTTTCAATTCCAGTCATAGACGTCCGTGCCACAGATGATATTGAACGGTAAATTGGTTACCCGCTCACTATCACTATCTAGGATTTAGGAATCTGTTACAGTCCGCGGGCACGGCGGCCGATCGGCAAAAGGCGAATTACGTTTTCAAGGTTTATCGTGGTGAGGGGTTGACCAAGGGAAAAGGACTGGATTTGAAATATCCAAAACCGATTGAGAAAGATCCTCCAAATCCATTGGTCGAAATCTGCTTTGCAGGTCGGAAGGTGAGTTACCTCACAATTCTACAGACACCAGTACACGTTTCAGGCTAAAACCTCCACGAAGCGAAGAACAACGAATCCGATTTGGAATGAAAGTGTGGTACTCCCCGAGTATTTCCCTGCACTTTGCCAGCGTATCAAGATTAACATTTACCACAGCGATCGATGCATTAAGACCCTCATAGCGTCCACTTGTGTAGATATGAGAAATATTTCTAACGACAAAGACTGCGGATTTTTGCCTACCTTTGGCCCCGGTTTTCTGCATTTTTATACCACAACGAACAAGATTGAGGGATATGTTGGGAAGATTTTGATGTCGTTTGCCACTGAGATACCTACTAATGTTACGCGAGTTTATAAAAACATCTCCTTGGGACATATTGCTGCGGTACCGGAGGTGAGGTACTTATTCAATAAGTGGCAGTAATTAAGCACTTAACGTAGAGCGAGATGTGGAGAAAGGAAGAGATTGTGCTGTGTGCAGTTATCTTCAATAGTAACATGATCCCGAAGCGTCATAGTACCTACCCTATCCGCTTTGAAATCAGCTTTGGTCATCAGATGGCGACTTCAAATCAAAATGCGAAAGCCATGAATGCCAGAACTTTTCCTCAGGTACCGTCAAGTGCAAACAAAATCTACTGGAATGTCGATTACGGGCCAGAGAAACCGTGCCTCTTTGTCAAGTTACTAGTGCCCGATTTGCGGCACATCTTGTACGAACAGAACCGTTTTACTAAGCTGATTGGTGAACTTGTAAGGATTAAATGGTGCCTTACACTCCCGTGATCCATAGGTATCTTTCAGAAGGTGAAATTAGAACGCATTAATAACCTCGCTTCAGTACAAACGACTCAAAATGGCGTACTTGAAAACTTACTTAAGGATGCGTTTACCTTTACTACCAGCACGTGTAAGAGTTTCTTCGATTACTTACAGGTTCCAAAGCAAAATTTCGTGACCGATCTTAAGGCCCATTGGAATCGATCGTGTCAGAAGGAATTGGTAAGTTACCGTGGTTAGTATTGGAAAGGGTTGGAGAGGTGTTTATAATGTTGCTTTAAACTGATTGTGCTCCTTGCAATTAACCACCTATCCAGGGTTATTCCCTCTTTTTTTCTAGCCGAAAGTTTTAACCGATGAATAAATTTTACTTTTAGTGCAGGTCGTGGTCCAGTTTTTTTATCGTCGAATCTTGTGATGTTTTTCAGGGTCCTGGAGCCGACACTACCGTTTTGACTGATCCTATACTTACAGTTGGCAACTCTGGGGAAAACATGGGGAAAATTAAAGTCACTAGATATAGAAAGTACCGCAATCATCCGCCATTTTTGGGCAAATTTTTTACCAACAAAAAAATTGACAAATAAAATCTGAATAGGTGTCATTTTTTATAACCTAAATTCATAGTACTGTCATGTTTTATAAAAATATATACAGATATCTCCAAACAGGTGGAACAATCCCTAATATTAAAGTTACTAGAATCTGGTAACTTCCGCCATTTTTGGGCAAAAATCATGCGTTCTCTCTAACACGCGAGCCCAATGGATTGCGGTACTTTCTATATTTAGTGACTTTAGGGAAAATTACGAGCAGAGCCATCTAACTTCCATATCGAAATTTTGAATTTTTTGCACCACGATTACAGTTGGTTCGGACAGGGTGGTGGGAATAGAACTCCTACGCTCTGTATACTATGGTGGTTCTTTTTATTTATTGATACGTGACACACAATCGGAATTAAAACTTAGACTTTTGTGGATGAGAAAAAACAAACAAAAACTGAGATCTGAGGGAAAACCCTCCATTGAACAAAAATAACCTGGCACAATATCTACACAAGTGCTGTGCAAAAAAACGATTAATCGATAACTTATCGATAATTATCCATTAATCGAGGACCGATAAATTTAAAAAAATTTATCGAATCGATTAATCGATAAATTAGTCAATTAAAAGTAGTGCTTTCCAAAAAAAACGATTAATCGGTAATTATCGAATTTTTTCAACAATTAATTCACTATCTATTAGTCGATAATTATCGATTAATCGATAATAATAGTGGATTAATTTTTTTAAAAATGGTCGACTAATCGATAATTTATCGAAAATTATTGAAAAATGTATCGATTAATTGTGATTTTAAAGGATTGGTCGATAAATCGATAATCTATCGGATAATCTTACATCGATTTATCACAAAAGCGATCAAGTAAGGGCATTCCGGAATTGACATGACACTTATAAAATATGATATGCTTAATTACAGTTTCTGTTAACAAGTAATAATTTTGAGGTTATTGAAGGACGTACCAAATTTTTGAGGATTATGGTCTAGTTCTAGTTGATCACCTTTGATTTCAGAAAACTACGAAATACCTATAGTTATTTAATATTTTCAAAACATCCTGTTTTTATTTAAATTATCAAAATCAATACCAAATAACTAAAATCGTTAACGAGTGTATGCATTAAGAATACATTTATATTGATAGGATTTATGAAAAAGTATCCATAGTTTACTCTCGATAATTATCGCTATTCGATTAATCAATAACAATAAGAGATCGACAATTTTCGATAAATGTCAATAATGTATTATTATCGACAATTAACGATTATTATTATCAAAAGTTAGCGATAATTATCAAAAGTTAGCGATAATTATCAGAAGTTTTCGATAATTATCAAAAGTTATCGATTATTATCGAAAATATCCACCATTATCGAAAGTTGTCGATAATTATCGAAAGTTATCGATTAACAATTAATCGATAATTATCGAACTAAACAGACTTATCGATAAATCGATAACAATTTTATTTATCGCCCAGCACTACTACTACACACACACATATAAGAAGTAAATCAATTATGGCAGCAAAATGCAAAAGCGAAATACGCAAATCAAACATCTCATGTTGTACCGTGTGTCCTATTTTGGCTGAAACTGCGGTGTATCTCAGCTGTTTTAAATAATAGAGACTTGAGGTTTTCGCGACCCTGTGCCAATTTATTTTTTTTTTAAAACTGTTAATGCTACAAACAGAATCAATCTAGCTACGTTTATTTCTCAATACAGGGTAAAAACAAAAAGTTTGAATGTTTGGGATGTTATCGTATCTTATTCGGTACCTCTTTAAGATAGAAAAAAAGTTAAAGAAGAAAAGTTAATCAGAAAGCCCCCCTTCTCGCATTGCTAAGACACAAGTACTGCCTTCCGCAAGAGGTGAGGAAGCAACATGATACAGCGAAGAATCGTAACTGTTTGAGGTACTTCCTCCACGGAATAAACGGTCGGAAATATAGTGTCTGAACACATAACTCTAACCGAGACCGTAAGCTTAATTAATTAATTAATTAATTTATTTATTTATTTATTTATTTATTTATTTATTTATTTATTTATTTATTTATTTATTTATTTATTTATTTATTTATTTATTTATTCATTCATTGATTCATTTATTTATTTATTTATTGTCCCTCATGTTCTGGGCTCTCAACAGTCTTTAGCCCAATTACAGATTGACCCGCATAATGCTTTTCAAAGGTGCACCTGCAGGTTTTAAGTTGTTCTATACTACTCCGATATTTACTTTACGAATTAGGAAAACTGCATGAAAACCTGATTCGGAGTAGCCGGCAGAATGCTCGGTACTGTTCTAAGGAAATTCCTATCCCTGCCACAGATGAAAAATTTTTACCTCAGCCCAGGTTCGAACACCCGACCTCCGGCTTTGTAGTCTTTTAATGAGTCCCCAAAAACATTTTTACTTCACTGATTTACTAGTTTCGTTAGTAAACTTTCCTTTTCATTTGTTGAAATGGGTTGCTATTGGCTTAACCGACCGATATCTATAACTCAAAAGCACGTGGACTAAAATACCGATTCCAAACACTGTGTATTTTAACGACGTACCTACCCGATTCTCATTTGCGCAACAGAAACAAAGGTTGAAGGTTTCAGCGTGCAAATGTCTTTCTATATCAACGTAACAGCCCATTAAGGCGAGAATCAATTTGGGAAAACCCCGCGAAACTAAATCATCTCCACCAAATGGTCACCCTGTACCTTTGATGCAGTCGCCTACAACGTAATAGAAATGCTGCAGAAATGCATTGACGGTGTGGTGGCACACCCCTATGGTAAGGCAACACACATTACAGCAGAAACAATAGCCCTATAGACAATTTGCTATTAGCTATTGTTTTGTAGGTACCGTCATTGTGTGGTTATAATGTACAAGTTATGCCTTTATATTATTTTATTAAAAAATGATTTATTTATTCATGAGAGAGGAGAATATTAAGGTGATGTTTTCTTGTATGGTTCTATTAACCGATTATACCGTGGAGAAATCACCTAATTCTTCGCTGTAGCTGCTCTTTTCTGATCTCGCGCTCGCTCCCGGACGATGCGTAACTATAGTCCGTCTCACCTTGACTTTTCAGTATAGGCTCTTATGGCCGACAACGATGCCAAAGGTCATTAGAATATGATTTATAGCAAATGGGCGGCCCGGGTTCGAATTCCGACCGAAGGTGTGCCAGACGGCCATCAAATTTCGCTGTATAAACCCCCCCCCCCACGAATTATTTCCTGAGGTGCTGTTTTTGAAAGTAAAACGTGCAAAGTAATTTCTACCAATCATAGCCCTCCTCCTCGACCTCTTATCGTGATCGGGTATATTCCCTTATATCTCAAGAATGGATTATCGGAAGAGGGTACTCACAAAGGGCGATTGAAACGTCTGCCTCAAATATAGCCATTGGTGATGTCAAAACAAAACCTATTTCGGTTAAACAAAATGCGCTTTATCTGCACAAGAGTTGTGCACAATTTATACTTGTTTAATTTTATCTATTCTTTATCATTTCTACATTTCGCCAGACTAATGCTGGTGGTTGATGTAGGATGTCCCGCAGGACCTGCTATTTCTATATAAGTACAAGGAATGTTTGTCTGCCATTCAGAACGTAGGCTTCTTTGAAGGCGTAAAAGTATACTCCGAAAGCACTTCCCGAAATTACAAGGGAACGGGGTACGGGAACGAGAAAAAATACTCCCGAGACCTACGATACTTACAGGCCGGAGCGCTTCAAAAGTTACGTGACCTTAGGAAGGGCACGCCCTACAAAATCGCACATTAATTATACGCACAGAGCAAAATTCACCACACGAGAACCTTTTTTGTTGGTACAATTGTATCACATATATCGAATGAAATGTAGTCAAAGGACACAAAAATGTCTTCGGACTATAGTACGAGAAAGGGCGCCTCTAATTAACTGTTCTTCTGTTTGGTATGTGGGTCTGTTTGTATAATAATCGACTTTAACTTGCATACCGCTTGCATTCTCACCTGCACTTCGTGTCAAATTAATGGTAGCAGGTGCCGTAATGAAGCCATACCCATTTTGGCGTTCTTTAGGAACGTGCAGTTTATCATTTAACGAGTTGTCGGTCTAAATTGCACCATAGATGCTTTTAAGGTGTTTTTGTACTAAACTTTATTTATCTTCTTTGTCATTTATATTTATTATGTCACTTGCATCTGGTTTTTATTAATTTGTTATCTGCATTTGACCTGATTTTCATTGCACAATTTGAGATGTTTGATTTTTATATTTCTCTTTTGCATTTTGTTGCCGTACTTGATTTATTTCCTGTATTTGTGTATTACGCCAGGTTTTTTCTTGTTGATTTTTTTCTGTCTCGTGCGGAATATATTTCATTTTTCTTTACCCAAGATACCCCTCCGACTTAAAAATAAATGCAATAGATGCAAAATATAAAAACAAAAAATGCGCAAATAAAGGTTTTTCCTCCTAAAACGCCAGACTCTCCCTCTTAATTCCACTATAAATATTGTAAATAACCGTTATTTCCTTTTACTCCTATTTGTAAGACTTTTGGCAGATGTTCAGATTCCACCCTGCACAATAACTGTTCTATATTAAAGATATAGTACTCGAACGATTGCTAATTTTTTCGGCCTTTAACTCGTTCCTAGTTCTGGTAATAGGTAGTTCAGCCAGCCCTCAGATAACCTGGGTTCAATTGGACAGTATCTATAATTTAAGTAAACTGGGCTTGATTTCAGAATGAAATTATACACACTTCATCACAAACCAGAACCTACGACAGAAATTCCATCAGAACCATTAACGAACTGCACTTCAAATTAGAGCAGCTACTATTTACAGTAAGTAGAAGTGTTTTTGATCCTCGTGCAAATAGGGTTGGTTACAGGAGGAAACTTGGCCGAACGTCTACGTCACAATGATCTGCAGCAACAAGAAGGTTGCGTTTGCAAAATTTCCACCAAATGAGTTGATCTACTCCAAAACTCCAGAGGAAAGCGGGAAATTTTGTGGAAACTTGCAAAGTGTGTTTTTGCAGGTAGTAGTTGAGCTCGTTCAAAGGCTCGGTACACGAAACTGAATTTGTCTATTGCAGCCAATCAAAGCGGACAAATGCTCTTGCGCACTGGACTTGTTACTGTGGTTAGATTTAGAAGCTCAGAGAGTGGAGCGTTTCAAACAGTTCCTTTCGAAATTTGAACTGTCGAATAACTTTTCCGATCGGGGTTTCCCTTCGTATGTGCAAGCAAAGGAAGTTCACGTACGTGCAAGCGTGTTTTTCTCAAGTGTGATTTTTCGATTAGAATTTTCAAGGCAGAGCACATATTTATCAGGGAAAGTTTTTCTTTGGTGCTGACAAGTCGGGATTAAGCGACCCATTTTTGCGTATCATCATTGGAAACCAGTGTCTACAGACTAAGGTATGTCAAATTGTCAACATCTTTAACAACTGAAAATGTGTGCTAAAAGTGTTAAAAGATGGTTGTCGCTAGACTGATTCCGTAATTTTGGCGTTTCTCATAAGATGTTTAATGTCACCTTACCTTACAATACAACATTTTGAAACGCTTGAACTTGAACGGAAATTCGACTGTTCATCGTGAATATCTCTTTTATATAGCTCCTGTTGTATTAATGTATGAACGCTGCGCCCCTTAAAGAGAATATAAGTAGAATGTTGACACTTCTACTACTAACAGTACAATTTCACTAAAAAATCAGAAATGAGTTGTTCCTTACTTTTCAAGGAACCCAAGCTACACTACCAACCCAATTTTAGGCGAAACGGGGATCATTCATACATGTTTTCTTTTAGGTATCCCAAGCAACACTAAACCCAGTTTGGGATCAAACTTTAATCATACCTCGACTATTGCTATACGGAACGAGCGATTTTATCAAATCCAACCCTCCTCTGGTGATTGCCGAAGTGTTTGACAAAGACCTATGCGTAATATGGGCTTCCACTGTGAATAACCTTCGGTTAAAACTTTTCCATAGAACAAGGCCGAGTTCTTGGGACGGTGCACTTTTTCTCCTCACATCAAATTAGCCAATCATCCTTACAGACCACCCGATTTTCCACCCAAACTCGTTTGGCACCGCGTCCTTCGCAAGCAGAAAACCGTCGGTGAAATTTTGGCGGCCGTAGAATTGCTGGAGGTAAGTCCCCATCCCTATGAACGTATTTCAAACAGGCTCATTGTAGATTACTGGGGAAGATAATATGGAGATAAAGGCGCATGACGTAGTAATTCGCATACCTACAGATATTAAACCGAATCTGGTCAAGTATCGCCTGGAAGTCTGCTTCTGGGGATTGCGCCAATTGCGCAAGGTAAATTTCGTGCCAGTCTGTAAGCCGAAGGTCGTGTTGGAATGCATGTACGCCACTCTCCAAACAGAAAGTGCATACGCTGTAAGAGGATGTCTGAATTTTAGACAACCCTTCCAAACCCTTGACGTGGTAGTATTTACGATCGCAAAGTGGTTTCTGCGACTGTGATTGTAGAATCTTCCTGAAGAATTGTACTATATTCCTCCTATGTGCTTGAAAGTGTTTGATTGTCGAAGCTTTGGACGTTTCGTGCTCGTGGGTGTTCAACTGGTAGACATGGCTCTATTTTTAACCACCCTTCTTACGAAGGTGGAACGGGAACGGCTACTCTTGCAGACCCCGGCACCTCCGAACAAGCGCAAACCTACCCAATTCTTAAAAACAATTAACTTCCAAGGCACACAAGTCACGGCCCACGTTAATAAAGGTACCAGTGCAAAGTTGCAAAAAGGACCGAGATGGAAGACGCCTAAATTTCAACACAAAAAGGCAACTACGACTACGATACTAAACTGTTTTCGAAAGAGGCAAAGGTCGCCTGATGTGGAGAGAAATCAAGCTAAGCCCAGCAAAAAGAAGCGGATAGCGAAAGTGCTTTACAAAATTTTGAAAGGTTTCTTCTACGCCTTTTGTTTCGTTTGGAAAAGCAAATGCAGGCGCAAAGTGCCGAACTGTCTGAAACTTCGTTTCGGGCGCTCCAAAACAAGAAGTCGTAGCAAACCCAGGGCGCGAAAGCGCCATGTTACCGACGATAATGACAACGAGGACGCTGATTGGTGGACTAAGTACTTCGCGTCGTTCGAGGTAACAGATTGACTGAACTCAATTAGTAACTCCGATTGTTACAGGGCGTTGATGTGTCTAAAACGCGTGGAAATAAACTACAGGTAAGTCAAAAGTGCGGGTATCCATTTCAAACGTGCGCCTCAGGTTTACGAAAACGAATTAGAAGAGCAGCCCGAGTTTAAAGGTTTCCAAGACAGTTTGCAAGTGTTCCAAATGCATAGAGACAATCTAACAGGTGATGATACCGTGGATGAACAGAATATTAAGGGAATTTTGAAGGCATCAATTCATATCTACAAACACCCTCCGGATGATCTACAACACTATGTGACGCCAACCGGTCATTGCCTCGATAAGGGGGTATTTCAGAACTTCCACTCGAATGATCCTTTGCAGTTCCTTTTGAGAGTCTATTGTGTCAAAGGCATAAATTTAAGGGCAAAAGATTACTGCGGTAGATCCGATCCCTACATCAGAGTGGTACTGGGAAATGTTACCATTAACGACAGGGCGAACTATATCCCGCGTCAAGTCAACCCGCTGTTCGGAAGGTGACCGCCCTCTCCAGCTCGTTCAAAAATGTATTCTTTGGTCTAGATGTTTTGAAATGAAAGGTGCTTTCCCGCAAGATCACCTACTGAAGGTGCAGGTATGGGATTATGACACGATTTCAGCCGATGACCTGATCGGCGAGACGAGGATCGACATCGAAAACCGGTACTACTCGAAACACCGCGCCGGTTGCGGCATACCGTCAGACTATCACGAGTAAGTGACCAACGCTTCAAACCGCGCCTTATTTCCGAGTCTAGAGGTGGATATTGCCTTTGGCGGGATTCCGAGAAGCCGACGACGATTTTGACTAACTTATGCAGGGGGCATAACCTTCCCGCGCCTGAATATCAGGCGAACTGTGTCCTTATAGGAAGCAAGCAGTTTCATACAACGGGAAAAGATGGTAACAAGTGGCAAGTTAGGAAATTGCTGAATTATGGTTTGTTTCAGGGACTTTGTTGGGTAAGGAAACTATGGCCTTGAATGTATTACGGCATTGGCACGAAGTTCCCTTGATCGGATTTCATTTGGTTCCAGAGCACGTGGAAACTAGATCACTGTATCATTATGAAACGCCTGGAATTGAGCAGGTATGTCAAAAGAAATCTGCATTAGCTTAACCTATTGGGAAGTCCTCTAATCAAACGCATCGCTTCGCTTCTTCCACCTTGTATGTGTATGCGGGTAAATATCCAATTTGGCTACCTTGTAACATTTTTATATTTCTCCATTTTGACTTTTATAAGATGATATCTTGGGTTATTTGAGGCCGACTTTGGTCGGCCCAACGTCCTCCGGCCCGTTAACCGAGGTTGTGAATATTTTTGGGGTGTATTCTTTTGTTGTGTTTTTTTTTACTTTATAAATTGAATGTGTACTATTCGCTTTTTTGGTATAAATGCTTCACATTCGTGCCTATTGTGACATTTGGCTGTTACTAACTCCAGCACTTTTTGTTGTTTAGAGAGTAGTTTTTCTAGAGTTTTCTTACAAATTTCAACCAAGTCAACAAAGAGAAAAATCCTGCCCCAACATCTTCTACCAAAAGTAACCCTTCTCCAACACTGTGTATCTGAGATAGCTACACGAATTTAAAGTTTTGCCTCCATCAACGGATACGTCTCATAAATTCAACATTATACATTAGACCTAGAATATTGACAACAGAATAGGTACCAATTTTTACAGGGAAAACTTCAACTCTGGATAGATATCTTTCCTTTCATGGACACCCAATATCCGACAGCAGTAAACATCGCACCAAGGAAACCCACATCGTACGAGCTCCGCGTAATCATTTGGAATACCGAAGAAGTCGTTTTGCAAGAAGACGACTTCTTCATCGGAGAAAGAATGTCCGATATCTACGTCAAAGGGTAAACACGAGCTCGCGATGCAAAGGATCACCACCAACTTCCAGCTGGCTGACAAGTTCCATAGAATCTCAATGCACCGACGTACATTACAAGTCCATGACCGGCGAGGGAAATTTCAACTGGAGATTCATCTTTCCTTTCAAATACTTGCCAACCGAAAACGTGGTGGTAATAGTGAAAAAGGAGTCGTTATTCTCGTCCGAAGAGACAGAGTACAAGTTGCCTTGTCGCCTTACGTTGGAAGTGTGGGATAACGATGTAGTCTCGAGCGATGATTTCTTAGGTAAATGTTCGTGGAAAACGATTTTCGTCAAAGAGATGTTCCAGGAAATCTATCGCTAGAACTGTCCAAGCTTCCGCGCGGATCCAAGTCCGCAAAACATTGCACCTTGGAAAGTTTCAATCCCGATTCTCCTTGCATAAATCTTTTCAAGCGGAGACGAACGAAAGGGTGGTGGCCGTTTCGTGCACTTAATGAAGAAACTAACTGCGAAATCTTAGCGGTAAGTTCTAGGAGATATAGTATAACTAACTCAACGTAGGGGAAAGTCGAATTGGAATTTCAGTTACTTACAGAAGAAGAGGCGAAGAAGGAGTCTGTTGGATTTGGAAGATCTGATCCGCAAGCTCTTCCCATGCCGAAGTACGGCAGGTATACTTTTTTCTCGTGTCGCTAATTCCAGTATCTTCCAGGAGACCTGACACTTCGTTTTTGTGGTTTAAAAATCCTTTAAAAACATTAAAAATGATTATTTTTAAGCAAAACAAGTGGAGACTTTTAAAATGTGCGTTGTTGATCTTTTGTGTGTACTCCATTTTTTCAACAATAATGTCATTGCCGCAGAATATTGTTAAGAAGATTATGAAGGTGTAGTAGTACCAGTCAGTTTATATGTACCTATAATTTATTAGGCATATACCTATACAAAGCTATTGATTCTTTAATTATTTACGTGTGGCTGCAAGTATAAGAATTCGATCATTTCGGACTTACTTTACCTATAACAGGACATTGTGGCGTTGTAAGATGTGTTGCCTGACGATAAGAGTATATTAAGAGCACCTTAGTGCCGCATACCTACAAAAACACAAACGATATTGAGACAATGGTTACCACGGATTTTAAGCTGCGCTTAAGCTAAGCTCCGCTTAAATTTATCGGTACAAACGGCCATAAGCAATTTATTAAAGACCCTGTACACTACTTTTATATTTGGCGCTGTCATCGCCACATCCACTATGCCTGTACTATAACCACATCCCCACCATCATAACCTATAAGTTGTTGTTTACTTTTCGGCTTGTTTATTTAATTCAAAAATGGTTTACATTCATTTTCCTGCGAATTTTACGGAAGAAGAGCTTATGTTACAAGCTAAATATACAAAATTGAAAAAGAAGGTACGTTATATCTACACCGTAACCTTACCTCTGTTTACATTCCATTTAGAAAAAAGCTTTACAAGCCCTGAAAGCACCCAAACCGGAACCCGAAAAACCGGTGGTTCCAAAGAGGCCCGCAGAAGCTAGAGATGCAAGAGAGGTAGCTAAGAAGCTAATTAAGTCGGGCGCGATCAGTGCAATACCTAAACAGGAGAAAAGGCCAGAGCAGGCATTTAAAAGGCCACGAGGTACCGCTTACTTAATTGTCATATAGTACGTTTCGCTTTAGGTTTGGAGAGAAAATTAATATCGGAGAAGACGGTTAGCGGCTACCAACCATTCTCCGCTGTTCAAGCCGATGATGGACCAGACAATCCTGGCAATCAACCTCCACGAATAAAAAATTTGTATGATACATTTGCGAATCAGCGGGATCGTGAAGAAAGGGGTTTAACTGAGAAGCAACGAGAGAAAACTGACAAACCAAGACAGGGAAATACCATTTACGTCACCGGTTATAAAATAACTGAGGAATTTTTAAAGAAACACTTCTCTACTGTAGGCAATATTGTTAATATATCGATGGAAATTGAGAAAAAGTTTGTTTATTATTACAATGTTTTTATAAGTTATGCTTTTTCTTTTTTAGTCGTGGTTTTGTAACATTTGACAAGGTAGAAGCATCGGATAGAGCGATCGCTGAGGTATAAAAACAGTAATTTTAAAGTGTTTGTACACAGTGTGCGTGATTATAGATGGATGGCAGTATGGTTTCAGGAATACCGCTGAAAGTATCGTTAGCAAGGCGACAGCCACAAATTGAGCCTATTAATGATGCAACATCGTCATCAACTTGGTCAACTTTAGGTATAGTGTGCAATAAATACTGTAAAATCATAGTTACATAATTTGTTCGTAGCCGCAAGTCACTCGCAGAAGGGAAATCACAAAGACAAGCGGGACCTTGTAATTTACGATGATCTTTTTGAATGAGTGTTTTCGTTTTGGTAGGTGATTGAGAGGAATTACCTAATTACTGGAAGGGATGTGTAATTATTTCATTAATTATTTATTCTATAGGCAATTGTATGTAAAAATTGACAGTAATAAATACATGTTATACGGAATCATGGGTATAAATCTATCTATAAATAATAAAATCTAAAGGGGCATGCTCATATTTATGTGGTTCCAGATAGGGAACTGTATTACCAAACAGGATTTTCACTTGCTTCAATAAGAAAAATTGTAATCATCAGAGCAGGTAATTTTGTTGTAATTTTAAATTCTCATACTGAAAAGCAACGTCTAGCTAATTTATTGTCAATTTTTCCTTAACTTTTTAGTGTAATGTTTTCAATTTCTACGTTCAAAGAAATAGTTAAAGGGAATTTCAATTTAAATGAGACTAGGAAAGGCATTGTCACTTTCATTTAATGCGGTTTTGAAAAGCAATAGACATAAAAGCCTTGCATGTGTAATTTATACATGGTCTATATTGGTGTTATCAAATAAAAATCAATTGTAAAATGCCTGTGAACGTTTATGTGACTATAAATAAGCTGTAAAATGGAATTTTCCGCAATGATTATTTAAGTTTCGCCTATTTACTTGTAGTGAGATGCCCCAACCTTAGCAACATCCTGTGAATATGATTGTCGATACGAAGCACCCTATAAATCACGTTCGTTATACAAGCTGCCAACCGAAATCTGGTGGGATTACAGAAAAGGGAAAGAGAGCGAAGATGAGACGGATGGAATTTCTCGGAAGAACACATGTGTTTACTATTTCAAACACCTGCAGTCCAGTTTTTTTGTAGAAATGCGTGAAATGCAAGGAATGGGCGATTTTCGAGTGGTTTTTGGGGGTGTTAAGAGATCAAGTTACCGGTCTAACATGTGTGTTCCGGATCTTTTTCTTGTAACCGGCTTAAGTGTAAAGTACGGCTTATCTTGAAATATTTTGTTATACCTTAATCATTGCTGTGTGCTTTTGCTTTTTATATCAGGTGAGGTATGCTTTATTCAATTAATCTATGAATGTGTGGTCATACTGGATTCAATCATTTGTATCTCTTAATGTGTAACCTTTGTTGGTATTGGCAATCATGTTTCATTGTCGGTAGGGCTGTATCTGTTCTGTACATATTTGTGTATTGTGCTTTTTAGTCACTTTCGATTATTTCATTGCATTTCATTACATTTGCTTATTTGGGGCTGTGAGTAATCAAGAGGGAAGTGTGCTTGTTTAGAAGGGAGCGAGTTATTCAAGTTTATACGGGCCTTGGTGAACCTAACATTTTCACTCGTTCCAAACCCAACTTTAGCCCACGTCTACAGGCACCCCACTGGGCCTGGGTAATCCTACCACCCGGCGAGGTATATTTAATATCTCTTAGTTTTGTCTGATGTATGTGTTGTAACACCTGGGGAATGGCTCGATTCCATTTTGGTTACTCATAGCGTGTTTGTATTATTTACCCCGGTTTCGAGAGGGCTCAAAATTGCTGTACATTAGATGTTATCTGTAGGCTTTGTCCTTTATAGGGCTACTCCGAATTAGGTTTTCCTGCAGTTTTCCTATAATTCGTAAGGTAAATGCCGGGGTAGTATAGAACCACTTAAGACTCTCTGCAGGGGCGCCGTATTGGTATTAGCTTCAATATAATCTTAATCAGCTATTGCTTTTGGTGCTCCTTACCCATAAAACGCCCTCATTGCTTGCTTAGAACTCATGTTACTACACAACGTAGGTGTCCTACATGACGATCACGATCTTAGTGCACTCGGAGTGGTCCGCGAGTGACAGATTCTCGCGGGAAACTTAAGCGAGAATATTCAAATAGGCAGCCATGTTAGTTTGGCATTCCCGCTACTACAGAATATGGTCAAATATTGCGGTGTGACTTGAAGTTGGCGTTAGCCCGCCAAGATAGTAGGAGGTTAAGATCATTACAGTAGATATACAATTACATTTATAGGATAAGCAACTTAGTTAGAATCGTTTCACGACTGTGGGCTAAGGGCTTGGACCAAGATGTGCACGTTATGGTGTGGCCAACTAACCTTGTGCTTGTGTTATGGGGTTGTGGCCTTAGAGAAGGAAAAGAGAGAGGAGGGATCATACATATATACTAAAGAGCACATATATGGAAGGGACAAGAATGATCGTAAAATGCAGCACGATAATTTGTTTGTGCACCAGTAACATGGCCGCTTACAGTTCATTGGCGTGAGGTTAAAGCAGCAACTATCGTTAATACAAATGTATTTGAACAAGTAGAAATTGTGTACGACCAAAGAGTATATTATACTCTTTGGTACGACACAACAACATAGACATATGAGTATGTCTATATGCACAACAAATGAACTGATAAATTTATGCATATCTTTTCTGTTCATTATAATGTTATACAATAAGTACAAAAGGTAGGTACGCCACGGTCACGCACTACAAAGAAATGCGAACAGCTGATCGACTAAACAAGAAGTAAAAAACAGTTTTGTGCACCTTGAATTGAAACGTTAAACTTATCGTGCAGGTTATCTGTCAAAAACGCCATTTTGCCTATACCAAATAACGCAAAATAACGTTATTTGTCAGATAACCTGCACGTTAAGTTTGAAGTTTTGATACGTCTTCTCTGTCTAGTCTAAGGTTATGGTCACATCTCAAATTCGTTGCTAGCTTCACCACTATCTAACATTTGATTAGATTCACTTTGATGGTACATTAATTACCACCACACCACATTTAAAAATTTAAGGTTAACTTTTTACCTCTCAGGTTTTGTTGATTGTATAAATATTTAAATTTTAGAACACAAGCGTGTAATGCAACTTCTCAGGGTAGATTTACGAAGATTTTGTACGGCCGCATTTTTCGTATTTTAGACCATTGGAGTTAGATTGCTACAAGATGAAATTTATCGTAGAAAGTTTAACGAAAAATGCCCCACGTTTGGGGGCGTTAAGAGAAATAGAGAATCGACCTAATTTAGTATTGGAAACACCCATGGCTATGCTTTACACACGTGTAAGTTTGCATGTGCGTACAAAGCGAATTACAAACTTGTTGCTTTAAGGGAGGTAGTATTCCTCACATTACCAATGAAGTGTTCAAGCTTCTGACGCAAAAATCGCAAATAATTCAGATTCCTTTGGTCAGTACGTACAATTTCGAAGATGTGATGTCTGTCTATAAAGGAACAATCGCAGAATTTGTAGGTAGGCTTCGTTTTTATGGGAGTATTTGTATTACAGCACATGTTTAGGAATGAAAGAGTGTATATCATGCTTAACGGTTCAAGACCCAGGTGATCACACACTGCCTGGGTATCATGTTGAGAACAGCATACCACTGTGGACGAGACATGGCAAGGTGTTGATCAGTGCAAAATCGTATATGAATTTAGTTAGCTTATTTAAACCAGACATGTATTACCTACTTTCTGACGGAGACACCAATATATCGAGCCCGGCAAAGAGAATAAGGAAATCTGTGCAAAACACTATAAAATATCATAAGCAGTGTATTGACACTCATGAAAATCTCACTGGAGTAAAAAATTCATTTATGATGGGGGCGATAGCGGGAGGCTACGACCTAAAAGCTCGAAAGGAGTGTATTGACGGAATCTGTCAAAATGACTCAATTGGGGGTTATTTAATAGACGGTTTACACAACAACGGCCCAGAAGTAGAGCTTTTAGCCGCCGACGAAATTAACCCAGTAGTCGTGTTTGTAATTGTAAGTTTTGGGCTAGGTTTTGAGACTATTTAAACGAGCGAGTTCTAGAACAATCTACAACCTACAAAATTAAGAGCAATACACGGCTGTTGGAATCCGGTGGTCATACTGAAATTAGTTCAGTTAGGCGTCGATCTTTTCGATACATCATATTGTTACATAGTCACTGAGAGATCATGCGCGCTAACCTTTACAATTGATGCCAACGGCAATGACGAGAAGTTTGAATTAAATTTACGACAAGCTGAGTAAGTTTTAATCGGTAACATGTCAGTTGGTAGTCTGATTTAGTTTCGCAGAAGACTTCGGGCCGATTCTACCTGGATGTACTTGCCTTGCATGTTCCAAGTATTCTCGAGCGTACATTCATTACCTTGTTAACGTACAAGAGCTTTTAGGGCCCGTATTACTCACAATGTATGCAGTTGAATGTTTAACAAATAGTAATGCATATTTTTTAGTCACAATGTCCATCATTATATGAGATTTTTTGAAAGTATTCGTCAATGTATTGGAAATGGTACGCTAAGTTTGTTGGAGGAAAAGGTTGGCAATCAGTTTCATTCTTCTAAACACGTTGATCAACAAGATAACGTCTTAGCAAGCTGTGAACGGGTAGATTCTGCCGATGCTTTTGCAAGTGCTGTTCTTGAAATGGATCGAGATAATATTACAGCTTCAGTATCTTCATGATACTGTTATATATTGTACAGATTTACATATACTTTTATGTATGTTTTTTAAATAAAACAAAAATATTCAAAGAGATTTGAATTATGCAATTTATGTTATATTATCTTAGATCGTGTTTCAGAGATCGCTTCCAAGACAAACACGTCACCAATTTGGTATATAATTTAATTTAGTAACACCACCGATATACATCCCCTAAAGTATATATAGTCATCGACGGCCGCACATTCCTTTTTCTTTGCTAAAATTGTTTTTCTGGGCAATGGGGGTTTACAGTATAGTTTAATTCCGCAGTTCTAATTTAATAAGCGTGTACCTGAAACCATAAAACATTTTTTTGGACAGTAAAAGTTTATTTAAAAATAGAGGCTGATTAGCAAAAAATAATGAACATGTGCGGTTTTAAACGTTTATTCAAAACGATATGATTGTGGCGGGCTCTGTGACGTAATAAGCCCGACCAATCAGCTCCTAGAACCATTCAGATGACATAACGACTTGGCAATATTGCAGGAGAATGGCATTTATAACTTGTGTCATCTGTCACAGGCACTTGTCACTTTCGTGCTAGATGCAGTCACAGCCTTAGAAGAAGGAAAGAATGAGGAGTGATAATAATTGAGATCGGTAAGTGTACCGCACATCATTGTTTGTTATTACCACCGAAAAGCTAACTCAA